AGTCAGTCAGTCATTTAGAACGTTTTACCCCACCTGGGCGTGTGACGTATATCCAGTTCTTCAGTGAATCATACCAGTTGCCATTTGGGTTAGGTGATCTACAACAGATAAATACATCATCATGACTACATAATAAACTCGCGTTGGTGTTATTGTTATTACTGTTGTTGTCCTACATTGCTATAACTAATAAAGTGGACAAATCATTGTTCCATCGTTGTAACAGATTTTAGTAATGCTTAACTAGCTCCGTACTACTTGCACATTGTTGCAGGTTATTGCACTATTTTACGTCGCGAAATCGGTATTGTCCGTATTACCAAAAAGCTAACTTTGAATAAACCGCATCTCTTAGGACATACCTTTTCCCTGCCTGGTGTAGGTGATTAGAGAACAGAAGGTTAACATGAGCTCTCTCTGTTTTGCCGGCCAGGTTAATTGTTGTGGCCTCTTCTTTCTAAAAGAGTTATTATCGTATGAAAAATATATATCTAAAAACAGAACATACAATAGACCTTTCAGATCACCACATTCTCAAACAAAAGAGCAAAGCTCTTAATTTGAAAAGAATGACACGTGGTCAGCAATAAGAAAACATTACTCCCAACTTAGAAAGCCTATTAAGACTAAAAACGTTTTGAATTCTTATCTTTTAATGATAACAATTAATTCCTAATGTGATTAAATAATATATAATTTAAAGAAAAATAAAAAAGGAATGTGTAGAAGCTAGACAATTTGCATTGGCGCTTTCAGTGAAAAAGATATTAAACAAATGAAAGCCTTGAAACTGATCTAAAAAAAGTTCTTAAAACGTATAAACTGAATTTTCGGTAACACTGTAACCTTCATGCCGAGAGTTAATGGAAGTTTGTGCAAGTCAACTGGAAAAATTGAAGTTCAATTTGCATTCAGTACGAAAGATGTGTACGCCCTTGGAAATTCAATGTGTTTTTTTCCAAAGTTTTTATCAACAGAAAAGTGCCAGGCATCTAATACTATACTAGGCTTACTTCCAGCACACATCGAAATCCAAGAAGGCCTTGAACACGAAGTTTCTTGATTTCCTTAAACAACAGTACGGAGTAGCTTCCAACGAGAAAAAATGTGCAGACAACCACAGGTATATTGGTCAAGATTCTCTGATACAATATGTACTCGAGTTTCTGTAAAACGTTTAACAAAATAAGCATTAGCTGGATATTTTTCAATAGAGCAGTTTTCGCATGACTGAAAAGCTCAGTGCTGTAACGTGCCGTGCTGTGACCGTGATGTTTTCTAGTATTTTAATTGCCTGACTTTTTTGTCGCGCAATGTGATTGGTCTGACAGTGGTGTGACCTTGGCGTGACCCTGTCCGCTCGAGGTGTTTATGCCGTGTTCCGGGTTTTTGATTGGATGGAGAGTAAA